AACCCCAAGGAAAGCAGCAATCGTAACAAGGATTTAACAATGTACACGGTTGATAGCTGGATGGTGGAATCAGTGTTAGAGCAAGCAATTGTGAGCTATTATCCATGATGATACTACTGAGTAAAGGACAAGTAATTTCAAGAGTCTACCCGGCTGCTGCTGATGCATACTAGTTCTGCAGCATATCATCATGGGTACAAATTAAGTAACACATACTATCTAAAGATCAATAGCATCTCTCACAGAATGTTTCATAGGAAATGTTGTTGAATAATCGAGATCAGACATACTGGATAAAGGAGCATGAAGAAGCAGAATGAGACTGCACTTAGATACCTAAAGGAAATGAGTTGACAAAGGAGTGGTAGTAGGACTATACTCACCAAGTCCAGTCTCTATTGCCTGCGAACATGACACAATAGAGATATGTCGGCATGACATAACACATTGTATTGCCACCAAGTAGACCAGCAAGCTCCATGATTATTCCTAGTGAATCCACGGCCATGCCGAGGATGGTAATAGATGCGAGTAGCACTGTAGTGAGCAGAACCCTGAAACCCATGATATGAGTGAGCATGAATCACCACAATGAATCCCAATACATCCCTAAGACTACCTGAATCTTCGTTCCTTTACAGGGTCGCTTGGTACGTCGCCTTTAAACCAGAGTACAGTTATCGAATTACGGCATGGGTGCATAGCCAAAGGTAAGTTAATACCGAGACTCAAACTAGCTGCTATGTATCCCAGCTTCACTGGATATGATTCCAGTGGCAGGTTATGTAGGAAGTTGGAGTCAACATTCTCACCAAAGGTCATGTACGGAAAAACCATCACAGTAGTGTAGATGATGAATCCGGACAGTACAGTCCAGATACCCATCTTCTCGAGTTTACCCAGAGAAGGATACCGTAATTCGTTGCAGACTTTATACAAGTTCTGCTGACAGCTGAAACAGAATATGAAAACGGGTAGCCTCGAGAAAAGTCCGGAAGCCGATAGTGGCCATATAGTAACGTTGTCCCAGGAAGGGCGCGCATAGACGATACTTAGAATGGCCAGATAGGCTAGGTTGGCTATACCAAACATATTCACAGCCTTAGTAGCAGTAATTGACTTGCAGTATACGGCAGGTGCCAGGAGCACAACCAATACAATCTGTACTAAATACTTCACTATTTGACGGTCAATACTGAGTGAGAAACCCTGAAGTACAACCTCGGCCATCAGGCTTCCCACTATTTGAATATAAGCAACCGAGGCACCAAACGCCTT